AGGCCCCGTGCTCCGGCAGAAGTGCACCCACTGCTGGAGGACTGTCGTTGTTTATCATCAACATGGCAGGATCCAAGGGTGGTAGTATCTCTCTCTCCTCTTCCTTCCTTTTCCTTTCCTTTTATAAGCATTTGGATTAGAACCCACGCTGCTTATTGTGGTGCTTTCCTGGTTTGAGTTGCCTCCTTATTTCACATAAACCGTTGACCAAGTCTGAGACTAAGATTAGACCTAGCCGCACCTAGACTCCTGTCTGGAAAGGAGTTTAGAAAGCAAGGGGGTCTATTCTGAACCTTGTGACTCAACCCCTGCATATCATGGTGCTTTCCAAGTTCAGGTTGGTGTTTAATGTCAATAAAGTGTTAATTGATCGTTTGGTGTTGTTCCACCTTAATTTAGCCCAAGGGAATCACAGAACCTCCACAATCCCCTCTGGACAGTCCAGTTCGGGTTGTGACACACCTCCGCCCCTCCTTCCGCACCTGTCCTTTCTGAACAGCCTGTAGCTATCGATAGCCACATTCCAGTCATGGGATTCATCCCACCATGTTTCAGTAATGGCAATCAGGTCATAGCTTTCTAGTAGCACAGTAGCTTCCAACTCCTCCTGTTTGTTCCCCATGCTGTGTATGTTCGTGTAGAGGCATTTGATCTGGGCTGTTGGCCATGCAACCTTCTTAGTGGAACACCCCTTGTTTCCCTTGAGGTGTTTCACAGAGGTTTCCTTGTTGGCTCCTACTACCTCAGGAGCCCCCAGCTCACCTCTGCAAGACTTCAACTGTGCTGCAGTGTTCCCAGCACACCTCTGGGCAACAGGTTGAGGACTCATAGTAGCACTCCATCCCTCTAACCAGTGTACCACAGCTTGTCACAGGCAAGCCTGATATATTCCCCCTGCTCCTTCACATCTAGTTTAAAGCCCTGTCAATGAGTCCTGCAAGCTCCTGAGCAAAGACCCTCTTTTCCCTTTGAGAAAGGTGGCTCCCATTTGACACCAGCAAGCTTGGTGCTGTGTAGGCCATCCCATTGTCAAAAAACACAAAGTTGTGATGGTGGCACCAGCCATGGAGCCATCTATTAATAGATTGGGTCTGCCTGTTCCTTCCAATGTCACCGCTGACAACTGGAAGGAGAGAGGAAAAAATAACCTGTGCCCCAGATTCCCTCACTAACCGTCCCAAGGCCCTGAAGTCCCTTTTAGTCACCCGTGGGCTACATACTGCAACTTTGTCACCACCCACGTGGAAAAGCAGTAATGGATAGTAGTCTGAGGGATGTACCAGGCTGGGAAGTCTTTTAGTGATATCTCTGACCCGGGCTCCTGGGAGTCAGTGGACTTCACTATGAGAAGGGTCTGCCCAGCATATTGGACTCTCCATTCCCCTCAGAAGGGGATAATATTCCCCTTATAATATCCTGAGGGGATAATTTCCCCTCAGAAGGGGAAAATATCGTGGCATTTTTATTCTAGTTCATTTGACCCAATCAATGTGGCATCTCAGTAAACTTCAGATGCCTGTGGCACAGATACACAGATCTACAGTTGTGCTGGTTACCTACAGTCCAGTGAAAGTTAATGAGAGAAATAGGCACTTCTACGATGCAATTCATGTTATCCTAAGCTGTATGTCAGATAAATCACAGGTTACAGGCAACTGGTTTTTTCCACTTCTTAAGAAGGGGATTTGGGAGGTTAGCTGTAGTAGGTAGGCTGTATCTAGGACCAGCCTTCAGCTGGTAGGCTGTATCTAGGACAGATGTCTAAAATTAGACAAGAGTCTCCTCACTTCTAAGACTTTCCAGTCTTAGCATTGTTTTAAATTCTTCCTTACTTCAAAGGCCCTTGTATCCAGCAATGTCAATTTTCTTGGCCAACACTAAGAAATAGTTGATTTCAACAGAAAAAAATGTAAATTTAAAATAGTACAACTGCAGCTTACATTAAAAGAAAATTATGTGCCCTTTAGGCATGTAAGAAGCTTAAAAAAAAATTAAAGGATCTGTAGCTGAATATCTTCTGTGACTTCTACAACTAAATCTGCAGGCCTAGTTTGTCATTTATAAATGTATTATTAAGGAATCTACATAGATTAAAATATGGCTGAGTGAGGCTTACAGAAAATATCTCTTAATGAACTCCTCATAATATTTCTTTTTATTATCATAATACTTTTACATGGAACATATATCCACAGGCATTTAGACAGTGAGGCAGAGATGGACAAATGAAATAGAAAACTTCAGATTAAATACTAGATTTCCCCTGAGAAAAATATGTTACTTCAGAAATACCGCTGGAGAAACTCAATATGAGTTCTCAATATGAGAAAAACCCACACAGTTATAGAAAAGTGTGACCCATTTAAAAGGTCACTTAATCCTTCTTTTCCTCTAGGCAGGATAAACTAAAGCTACAGTGCTTTTTTACAGATGTTTCATTAATCTCTTCTTTAAAGCTTCCAAAGACAGGCATTCTGAAATTTCTGTGGCAATTTATCCTTCGTGCTTAACTATTCTTAGCAGAAAATTCTTTCCCTGTAAATCTCCTTTGTAATTTTAGCACATTGTCCTACTACGGGAGAAATGGAGAGTGGTTTAATTCTATCCTCTTGGCAGTACATTTTAGATATTTGAAAACTCTTTAGATATACCTTTATTCTATTTTCTAGATTAAAATACATTTGTTCTTTAAAAATTTCTTTATAGATCACCGATGTTATTTTACTTTTGTCACTCACTGCTTTTCACTGTGTTTTCTTGATCTGTTCCACATTTTTAAAGTGTAATACTCAAAACCAATGAAGAATTTCTGCTGATATCTAGAAAGTGCAAAATGGAGCAGAATGATTATTTAGCTTATTTTAACATGCAATCTACTTGTTTTTACAACAAATCAAGACAATGTTGATTCATGTTTAGCTGTGATATCCTATGATTCCCTGATCCCTTTCTGATGAAATTACCCAGTTACTCTGTATCTTGGTTTTGAGCTGTGGAGGACTTGGCTGTTGCTGAGGTACAGACACAAGTATAACTGAGACCACAACAAAAGCCCATTTGTTTGAGGGAGTAGAGTTCTGGTAAGGAGCAAGAACATTCTGGACAAAGTGGATGTTTGAATTCACAGTTAAGGTACAGTCATTCAAACAACAATAAAAGCCCAGTGCTACAACAGAAAATAGACGGAGCTCCAGCAGGTACTGCAGGAACTGGCTACTTCTCACTAGTTGTGAACTACCTCCCTGAGTGAGGGAGATGCATGCATGTTTCTTGAAGCCAGGACAATTGAATTAGAGATACAAGAAAAGGTTAATGTCCCTGCAAGATGATAACCGTCTATTTCCTTGCACTGATAATTCCTTTCATGTTTGGTGATTTTTACTGAGAGAAAGAGGTAGATAAGTGCAGATGGTGTTGAAAGTTATATGAGCAATGGGACTTGTAGCAGCAAGTGCAGTTTGGTTGCATGCTTTCTGAGCAGGTATTTCCTTTGTATTCTGCAAAGAACGCATTTTGACAGCATCTGCAAAAAAGCAGGTAGTCATGATCTCTGTGAGTACTGACTGATGACACAGGACAGGCCAGGGGAGGGTTTGGGAGACAGAATTTAAGCTCTTAGATGTAAAACTGAAGATCAGGACACCCTTGCATTAGCTTTATTTATATTCTGGTTCAGCTCACAAGATCAGACAAAAAGGGGGTAAGTCCTCAGCATGAACTGGGAAAATGTGATAGGGAAGAGAAGCCTGAAATGGCTAGGAATGAGATAACTTTGGGAATATATGGAATTTACACAAGTGACACGAGTAATGGCCACACTCATGTTGGACATGATAATTAATTACCACATGTAGCAGTGTGGACAAGAGAACTCAATGCTCAGTAGCAGTCAGAGAAATCCCTCAAAACCAGGAATTTGCATAAGACATGCAAAAGAAGAAAAGAAGTGAAAAACCCAGGAAGCATCTGTATGCCTGTGTGAATCCTGATTTTTTATCTGTCTTGAATGCTGTGTGCAGCTGTGGCCTGTCCATCTTAAAACAAACAAATGAAAAGATAAGGTAAACCAAGAAAAGATATAAAGAAGAACAAGAATAATAATCTGGACTTCTCACAAAGAGAGAGTGAATAGATACCAGGGCTCTCCAACTTGGAAAAGAGGTAACTGCATGGAAAGTATGATTGATGGGCACAGGTGACTGGGAGTGAATGAATTGAGTACCGTTATTTTTTGTCTCTCTCAGCAAAAGAAGTAGGAGATATCAGAGAATATTACCAGACACCAGGTTTAAAGTAAAGAAAAGGAAGTCTTTTTTTATATTTGATTAGTTCCTTTCCTCAGGGCTGGAATGTTTCAAATAGGAATTTGAAAAATTTGTGTGAAAAACGGATAGTTTAATAAGATGCAGACAGATTCTGCTCCACACTATGTAGTAGATTACCAGGACCTGGGAGAGTATATATAGGGAGTCTCTCCATATTATTGGCCTATTCTTATAAACTAGATAAGCCCTTATTTGGGCTCACCATTTGCATATCCTGCAAGTACTTCCAAAAAGCACATCTGAGGAACAGGCTCTAATCCCATTTTCCACTGATTTTTACCCCTTTCTCTCTCACACCTCCCTACTTTGTTCCTGTAAATTCCCGTCAGTCCTAGCACTGACAGACTGTTCTGATAAGTTGCTGCAGGTCCCCAAACATTGATCTACCTATTTAGATTGGCAATCACTCTCTTATAACAGTGATAGAGTTCCTAGTAGAGTTTTTACCATACTGTTGTAATGCAAACAATGACATCTTGTCATATTCACTAAATCCAGAAGAGTAGAAGTCCCACAGACGAATGTGTGTCAATGGTAGTGAATCACTAAGTGAGACATTTGTTGGTTCATGTTTAATAAAGCCTCCTGCTTTATTCTGCCCATAGTGAGAAGCAGGTATCATTGACATTTGAAACATAAACTTTTTTGCAGATCAAAAGCAGGGAAAAGAACCAGACAAAATCAATTTTCTTCTTCTGTCTTCAGCTTTTCCCTAATTCCTGAGGCAACAATGGCAAAAAACAGCTCAGGGAAGAAGGTGCGAATGTAAACTGCTGCTCTGGGGATACGGTTGGCCAGAAGTACCTCCTGCTTCTTGCTGCTCACTGTGCGCAAGACTTCCTCTGCCACCTCCACTGGGTGCACACCATATGCCACCTTTCTGAAAAAGACTGTAAATCAAACAGAGGAGTGAGAGCTACAGACAGACAGACACACATCTGAGGGAATGGTGGTGAAAAGATACACAGCTAGTGCATCGGCCAAATTAGTTAAATTCCTACACACTTTCAATCCCTTATCCCTTCCCTTCCCCTCATCAGTAAGTCCCTAAGATCTTTTTACAATTTTGGAGTAAAATCCTCACAGTGCCTAAGAGAAGGAGCAACTTGAACGCACTAGAAGTATCCCTTGGGACCTTTTATGCTCTGTTCTACCTCCACTCCCCATGTCCTGGTGTATTTATTTTCTCACATAATGTTTCCTTTCCATGTTTCTTCTCTTTTCACCACTGTCAATTGATGTCTCCAATCGCTCTTCTCTTTTGATCCCCCAACCTGTTCATCGTTTCTGTCATTTCCGTTCTTTTCCCTATGCTCCCTTCTTCTCCCTGGGAAAAGCCTCCATACTGCTATATGGGCCTCATCTACTTTCTCTCTTGATGCATCAAACCTTACATTTCCAAATAGATGCCTCCCAGTTGCCAGGTGCTAGTTGGTGATGGTATGAACAGATGAAGGTTGGATTCACAGTGCTGACAGAAATATCAAATTCTTCCATTTCAGCTCTAAGACAATCAAAAAAGCCTACAGCAGCATGCTTAGAAGCAGCATCTAAAATAAAGAAAAAAACCCACATACGCATGTTTGGATATATGAATGCATGGATATAGATGTATGACAGAGCTCCATAAAACATGAATGTTTGGAAAATTGAGCATGGAATGACTAGCCAAAAGGCAAAGGAACATTGAATTATTTCACCCAGTGAAATTATCATGCGACATATTTAAAACAAACAAAAAGAATTATTTGTACAGGACAATTATGCATGAGGTATGTAGTCAGTCTCCCGATACATGTCAAAGAGCATGTGTCTGAATTTCCCAATCAGAAATATTAAGCCCTGATTAAGGAATAATACTTCTATTATGGTGAGAAGTGGAGTCCCTTAGGGGTCCGAACTGGGACCAGTGCTGTT